TTTCGCATTAAAATAAAATTAGCTTTAATTTTTTTTCTTATATCATTTTTGTTATATTAGTTTTCTACTTTTTCTTTTCTTTTATTGGTTGAATATGTTAAGAAATTAGATTGATCAATCATTTTGCATTGGAATAATTTATATATTTTTAAGTTAATTATTTACAAATTTTGTTATTGTATATTATATATACCTATGAATTTTATACACTCTATACGAGCGATTGGGCTCTTATGAGATAAAGAATAAATAAATAAAAAAAAATAAAAATAAAGATTGAAATAAAAATAAAAAATTCAAAGATAATTTATTTATTGCTAATTATTAATTACAAATGCTTAATACTAAATATTTAAAATTTTCAACAGTACATATTTACCTCTCCACATCTTTTGGCAACAAATGAAATTTTCGTATCGGCTTTTTCCCCTCACTCATAAAATTACATCCCAGACACTTCAAATAATGTTTACCCATTATTATAAAAAAAATTATTATTTTTCACACCTATTCAAGTCTTTTTAAAATTCATTTTTATTATTTTTTAAAATTATATTATATAAATTATAATAATTTTTTTAAATACTTTTTTTCTGCTTGTCTTTTATAATATGAATACACCTTTTTTGCCACCTTGTACTGGAATAAATTACAGAAATAAAACTGCCGCTTTTAAAATTCTTAATATTTTTTCCTATACTTTATATACGAAAAAATGAATGACTTCCGCTTTTAAAAATACATTATAAAAAAATAGGGAGACATCTATTACGTACTCTTCCTGTCTCAAAAAAATTCTTATGTGTATAAAAGTGAAAATAAGAAGTTATACTGCTTATCTCTTTTAGCTTATGGAATTTTTTGTATACAAACATTGGTGAGTGATTGCATTAGTGTGATGTAAACGGAGGATCGGACTACTTCTTTATACAATTACGATTGGCGTGAATGCACTAAACATACTCAAAAAGAAAGACATTCTTTTTGTCAAAGATTTGGTTAATCCAAGGTTAACGCTGCATATTCATCATATGGTACTGTCTAATATACACACTACAAATTGTCTAGAAAACATGGTTTTAGCACCACAAACAAAAATATTATACATCTAGACAAAAAATAGCAACACATTTTGGAACTTCTATTTATATCGTGTTTTCAATTTGAAATCAAAGTTTATATCGTGGAGTAAAAATTAAAATTGTAAAATATAATGAAGAGTAGAATTAGATTTAAATTTAATATCATATACATACCTGTTTCATCTTTTTTTAATAACAAAATAATTTTATTTTTTAAATTAATTTTATTTTATCCCCTTTTTTCAAAGAATTCTTAATTTCAAATGGATTTTATTGAAAGTTATTATACTTTTCTACATATTTGTTAATTGTATATTAGCCTATCATAAGCTATACTCTCTTTTATTGTGATGATGAGTTTTTATTGTGATATTTATTATTATGATTTTTATTGTGTTTTTCTGATTTTGTTTTGTAAATCGTATGATAATAATTTGAAATTTTTGAAATATAGGAATTGGCACTATTTTTCTGAAAATGGCTCCCTTTGAATATTTCTGCTGCCCATCCAAAAAATCAAACGGCAGCCTGCACCTATAACATATTTAAGTAATTTAGATAAAAGAAGTAATACAGTATTTTAATGCATTGCAATGCATTTCTATACCAAAACGGAAAATTGGAATAAAAAATTTAAAAAACAATTGGTTCATGTTTTAAGAATAAGAACCTTAACATAACAAAAAAATCAAGTCCTGGAGCCTTCTTTTTTGTGAATGTATGTGTTAAAATTGCAAATGTTTACCATTTCTGAATCATTTTTTTTTTCTTTTTTATATGTAGATTATTTATTTTAATTTCGAGTTGTCTATAAAAAAAATTTAAAGTCTAATATGGACCATGTGTTCGGGTAATTTGGACCACAGGTCTATTTTCTATAATAATAATATTTTCTATATAATCTCGTCGTAATGTAATATAATATTATAATACTTTTATATATATAATAGATATTTTATTTAATAAAATTTAATATAATAATCTTGCCGAGTTAATTCAAAATATCGTGACTCCATCTCCTGGATGTATTCAACTAATTGTTTTTCTATTTCAAGAGTAAATACGGGTTTTTACGACCTAGTGAAACACAACAATAAAAAGGGATAATTATTATTTTGCTTAAGAAATTTGCAAGAAGCATCTGGGCTACTTGGATATATAAACAAATATTCACACAACAAAAACACTAACGAAAAAATAGTGCAATACTCACACATTAAATTTTTTTTATTTAATATAATAAGCATAATAATAATAAGAAATATAGAATTGAAAATAATTGTTGTTACACAACAGTATACATACATATATTAAAATTAATATGAGTTTTTAAAAAGCTGAATAAAAGTTCTTAGTGAAAAAACAAAAAACTTTCTCACGAGACAACGCTGAATTATTTTTTCCTTATTTAATACGGTTTTGCGAAAGAACGTCGTTTTAATATCATATTAATTTTGTTTCAATTTCAATTGTTAATTATCCGTTCTTTTTGTAAATTTTCGATGGTAGATTTTCTTTATAGAACCACTACTTAATATTGTGAATACAAGAACAAGTAGCAAACTTGCTATATATTAAGAAAGGAACCGAATATGCTTCTCAGTATATATTTATCCTTACTATGCAATATAAGCACACGATAGTGTAATTAGATTCTTTTCAAAGAATCGAATTATAAGAATCGTTCATTTTCACTGACTCGTTCAAAAAGATTCATTAGAAAATTTACAATAGCCAAATTGGTCAGTTACACTTAAGTCATTTAATAAGTTTATTTACTGCTTTTCAATTAATTTCATTTATTTATTTATTTACTGTGCATTTGCAGTTAATATTATAATATTAATTTTTTACAAATAATATTACCTACAAATACACAGAGTTTGAATTTTAGTTTTAAAAGTGCGTTATTTTTAATGCAGTATAATATTTTTTTATAAAAATACTGCTATCGCGCTTCTCATGTAAAATCAGTAAGAACGAAAAACATGCAATATATGTACATTCCTACATATGAAAAAATATACATATACAAGAAACATTAAAGAAGTCGTTATGAATAAATCGTATGCATATGAAAAAGAGAATTTTCAAAAGATTCGTATGTATTTTACTCTAAAATGAACTGATCAAAAAGAATCGTATGTATTGTGTACCAAAAAGAACTGATCAAAAAGAACTGTTCAGAAAGATTTGTTTGTATACAATATACGAAAAAGTACTAAATCTTAAGAGTATCTTATGCATATGAAAGAGAGAATTCTCAAAAGATTCGTATGTATTGTACACTAAAAAGAACTGGTTTCCAAAAAGAATCGTTTGCACGGATTGTATTTAGTACATTATAAAAATATAAATGTGTGTAAAAAAAGCTATAGTAAAAAGAAAAGAAGAGAACGTAAATTTCTCAGTTTTCATGTCTGTAGCGCTGCAGACAGAAATACAGGTCTGTACCCGAAGAGTTCAAAGCTGACGAATTTGCACGTATTCTTATGGGGTCTATAAAGGACCTTTTTAACATCTTAGATCTACTACAAGATCAACTTTTTTCAAACTTTTAATTAGAAAAAACTAAAATTCAATCTTTTTCTACTTTACTAGTTTACATTTTTAAAGTTTTGTGTTATTAAAACATTAAACAATTGATTTAAAAAAAAACCTTCCAGGCTCCGTACATTTTTTTAAGATTTCAATAAATGCTACACTGCAGGATTTAGTTGATTTTGGTGTATTTTTTCAAATTTGAGAAAATATACATTTGATAATAACGAGTTTGCTGATTTTGTATGATATATCTTCCACAATAATCACATATACATATATCTATATATTTTTCATGTGTATACTATATTAATTAAACTTACATATATGCTTCATAATTCATAAAAATGACTACAATGTGAATTCTTGTATTAAAAGTCCGTATAATTTCTTTTAAGTTACGTATGTGATTATAGTTTTATTAGAAATTGTCTTCACATTGTTGATAAGGCCAATTCGCTAATTTACCTAAACTGCCGCATCAGAAACTTTAGAACTTATACAAGTTTCTTTACAATTTTTTTTATATTTGTTTTTATATAGGGGACAACTTGAAACGACGCACTTTTATAACGATTATAAAATTTTAAAAGCATTTTCATAATTATAAAACTTAAAATCAAATAATTACAAACTTAAATTAAAATCTAAAAAAATTTTGTTTAACTTTATTTTAAGTCGTGTATTCTAGGCTAAAAAATATAGTACCAAATTTTTTTTATTCACTATATTATCATGTTTTACTCTCAATTCTGTCAGATACATATGTTGTCTGACATGGCGGTACGAAAAAATGTGGAAAAAATGGAAAAAATATTTAATCAAAATCAGTTAAAATTTCAATTTTTGATTTCATGTTAGAATTAAAATTTTTAGGTTTTAGTTAACTTTTCGTATAGAAAGTTCGAAATGAAAATAGGTAAAATTCATAATTTTTCTAAAAAAAAACAAAAAAAAATTATTCCTCAGAAATGTCATTTCGCCAAATATATGTATATATATTATACAATTACAATACATACATATGCAATTTTACAAATCCATTCACAAAAAACAGGGTCCAGACCTTGATTTTTTGTAATGTCAAGGTGTGTAGTAGATAACATGCGGGCATATGTAATGCTACAAATATTATATGTATGTATATAAATTGTATATACAATTTGATTCTTTTAGTATAATATGCGATTCTTTTTGAACGAGTCATTTTCTTTTTACTGAGTCGTATGTTTTTTTCATGCCAATGAGTCGTTCAAAAAGAACGAATCGTTCATGCACGATACATGGCTACACTATAGCAATATTTTTATGTCGATATCATGTCAAGTATGAAGAACATATTATTTAATATTTTGACACTTGAAAGTAAATAAACAATATTCTCATTCAATATTATCTACGAAATATAAAAACTCCAATAACAATATTTAAAGGTTAAAATTGTTTTAAGCAATTTAGAATGATTCAAGAAAAATCGCGTAAAGCGATAATTAGCAATAAAGGAGATTTAAATTTTGCAGTTGCACAAAATAATATATCTACTCAGAAATTGAAATTCGGAAGTAAATGCGGAGATGTATTTTTTCAAAGGGACGTTGAGAAATTTTCTGTAGTTTGTGGATTATGTGAATTAAATTTTAGAAATTTTAATTCATTTTCAAATCATTTTTTAAATCAACATTTGGTAAAATGGAATGATTCAAAGGTTGAAGTAAAATTCGAAACTGATGCAAAAGAAACAAATTGTAGTGGTACCTCATTAAATCTTTCACCACAAATTAATGAGTCAAATAATATTAAAAGAAACCCGTTCAGTTTTAGTTTTCTAGAAAAAAAGAATTTGTTTTGTGATGCGAACTGTGAAAATGATAACAATAAGGAAATCTGTAAATCAACCGATGAGAAGGAATCAGTACATGACATTAATAACGTACCATCTGACAGTAAATTTTCTACTTCTTTTTTAAAGTAAGTATGAACGTGAGGTAATAAGTATAAATTCAATAACTGTTACGACTGAAAATTTTTAAATGTAATATAGTTTTGAGGCACCCAGCGAATTAAAGCACCATGAAGAAGACGATATTTGTTCAAGTCTTACTGGTGTCTTAGAAGCGAACTTGGAAGAAGATTCTGCAAAAGATTCAAATATGAAATTAAACTGTAAATATTGTCATGTAAAGTTTGTATCTCGAGCACTCGTCGTTGAACATTTGAAAATATGCAAGTTAAATTCAATGAAAAAACGGGTTTCAAAATTTTCAACAAACGAACTGACATGTGAAACTTGCAAACGTTTGTTACCAAATATATCTTCCTTATTAAGACACAGATTTTCTCATATAGAAAAAAGTAAAAGGCCATATAAATGCAAGATTTGCTTGAAGGGCTTTAACACTACCAAAAATTTAGAAAAGCATAGTAAAGTGCATAACGAGCCGCGAATATACGAATGTGATTTCTGCTTTATAAAATTTAATTCAATATCTTCCAAAAATGAGCATCAGAGAAAACATTCGGTTGAATATCGGTTGCTTGTTAAAGGTATTGGCAAAAAGAAAGCTGTTTTGCAACAGATTGAAAATGGTAACTCAGAAAACTCGGTTCTTGAAATTAACTACAGTGTCCCAAATGGATACTGGCGATGCGAGGTTTGTGACAAAATGTAAGTACTTAATAAAATTTGAAAACGCCATTGTTCATCACACTTATAATTCTAGGTTCAAAAACTCGTACAAGCCGGAGGAGCACAAACGTTTTCATGAAAACGTAACACCATTTATATGTGAATTGTGTGGAAAGAGTGTGGTTTCCCAACAAATGTTAAATCATCATATATTGGTGCACAAAGAAGAACGCAGATTTAAGTGTTTAAAATGTGGTACTAGTTTTTACACATCAGCTCATCTCAAAAGGCATGAGCAGACAACTTGTAATTCTCAGAAACTTTTTCAATGTGAAATATGTCAATATCGTTTTAAAAGAAAGGAGCACCTGACGGCGCATGCTTTGACTCATGAAAAGAACCGGAGTAAAGATTTCAAATGCGAATACTGTAATGCCGGATATCTTACTTCAAACTCTCTTCGCGTTCACAAAAAAAAACATATGGTAGCTACTGATGGACCTTTCATATGTAATCTATGCTCTGCTGTTTTCTCAAGTAAGGAAGCCGTCAAAAGACATGAACGAAGACATAAAAATAAAGGCGCATTTAAATGTGAACATTGCGAGAAAAAATTCAATGACAAGGACGACATGCAACAACACACCAAAAGACAACATTTTTCAGAAATAAAGCCTTATTTGTGTGTCGTTTGTAATAAATGTTTTATAAAGAAATCACATTTAAAAGATCACCTTACAACTCATAATAAATCATAACATCATATTTCTATTTGACAAATACCTTCTACTAGAAGGTATTTGTCAGTGTGGTTTAAAAGGTTAATGTTTAAATTACTTTTAGACTTATAGATTGGGAATTTAAACATTAACTTTGTAACTAATAAATTTGCAGAAATTATATTAAGAGATACATTCAAAAGAAACCTGAACATATTATTAAATAAGGAATATAATTGATGTAAGATTATTGATAGATATGTATATTCAAAAGAAACCTGAACACCTTATTAAATACGTTATTTAATTGACGTAAGATTTAGAAAATGAATTCTTGTCTAAAATTTGAAATAATGGAACTAGCAATTCTTGTGAAAAATTGAGAATTAAAAATTAATAAATTTAATGTATCATATGTTTTCGAAACCCTTGGATATAAAAATGTCGAAGTTCTTTCATGAATTATAAAAGAAGAAGTTCTATCATGAATTTCTTTCGTATTTATTTATAATTCCGAATTACTAATATGCCTATTCTAAGATCCGTCGTAATATTGTTTTGATCTACGAACTACGATACGACCCTGAAGGACATGGAATTTTTCGCAGTGTTAAAAACAAATGAAAAAGGAAAAAACAAAATACACCGAGGAACAAAAATTATTTAAATTTGAAAGTAAGCAAATAATAGTGGTGTTATTAGTAAATTAAAAAAAAAATTTTATTCAAGTAAGCTATTTAAACAAAAGAATATTTTGGAAATTTAATTCGGAATAGTGTGTGTTGAAGAGGAAGAAAGAATGGAGATATATTATTCTCTAATATTGATAGAAAAATCCTTTCGACGTGGATGGTATTTTGTAAGTTCTGAATATTTTTACATGGTTATAAATATATCGCAAAATTTATACTTCGTAAAAAGATTATACATTATGCCAAAAAAATACTTTTCATATTTATATTGCTTATATTGTGATTGATTAGTTTTAATTTTAGCCGTTTGGATACAAAAATAATAAAAAACATGCGGAAAAACACATTTTTAATTTGAGCCCCAAGTAACTAGAATTACATTTTAATAATTTCTCGATTTCTTCGTATTATTTATTTTAAAACTTAATTTGCGAATAATGTGAATAATCATATTTTTACTATTATTAGTAGTATTTCCCTATTAACATTTGTTAAAAAGTGATCTTAGAATACCAAAGTTGCGAAAATTCTGAGTCATAATTTATTCGTAACTTCTGACTTTCAATTTGGAAAATTTTCGGATCTTGAAATACCATTTTTTTTATTATCCCCGAAAAAAAAAACGGCGACTGATCTTAGAATAGACATATAAAACTCTGTTGCGAATGTTCGTAATAATCATAAATTACATTCGTAGTAAAAAATGCCCATACAAGTCTACGAAATAATCACATATACAAGCAATTTAAAGGGAGTGGTTGTTTTTATTTCTTTTTAGCTTGATTTCCTCCACAATGCTACCATGAAAGCAAATGAATTCATATTTGATAAAAATTTTTTTCTCCACTTTTCAAAAATATTCAAAAACTAAAATAACTAAAAAACTCCGGTTTCAAAAAATATTCTCTTGTATGAATGTTGTTTACTTAAATAGCAACAAAAAATATAAATTAACATTTGACAGTTGAAATAAAATACTGGTTTAAAAATTCCGAAAAATGGTGCTGCCATTGCTGACTCTAATCTTTACGAAAGGAATGTGTGATCATTCAAAAGTCTACCTACGTCATACCAAAATCTGTAATTCATAGGACTCTAAGAATGGAAATTCATGATAGGGCTGAATATTAAAACAATTTCAAATATACATATATACTGTTAGTTCAATATTCGTTTCAGCAACAGTTTCAAAACAAATAACTTTTTTCATCTAGAATATTAATTTTATTAGTTAACTCCTATTATACATGGTTAAACTTTTTATATAACAACATGTTTTTTGATTGTTAAATTTTGATTAATTTTTAAAAAATCTGATAAATATTTGCCACCCCGTAAAATTTTTTTTTTCGTAAAATCAAAATATGCACAAAATGGTTTGTATACATTTCTAAAACTATCATAATGTATTTAGTACAATATAACAACTAAAAAATGTCTTAAATTTCTGTTATTATGTCGATATATTTTTTTCTTAACGATAATTTGAAACCAAACAGAAATTCAAGGATTTCATATGTACAGATGTACAAATGTATATGCGTAAGCATTCTTTAATTCAAGTTATAGAATTTTGTTCGCCGAATCAGACAAAATTTGAAATTTTTATAACCGTAGCAATAGCAATATGGTCTAAATGTTTCGAGTCCCAATAACAAAAATACGAAATTTTAGCAAACTCCCAATAAAGTGGTTAGTGAAAAAGATTTTCTTTTTTAAATTTTTTTCTAATTTCAAACAATTTTTCCTAATATACTCGTAAATAAAAATATATACATACATTATGTTTCACATCTATCTATTAGCTACGCGTTATATAACTGCAATACTAAAAGTGAAATGCAACTCCTTTAATATAATTAGTTTTTCTATTAAATAAACGCTCTAAAAATAAACGAGCTCTAATTAAATAAACGATCAAAATACGTAGATATTTTCCTTCTTTTAATCAATTGAACAAAATATTCAATTTGTTTAAAAATATATTTGTGTACTTTCTATGCAAAATCTTATATGTATACTTTTCTCATTTTTGTTACAATTCTATTTATTATTTTATTCACACCTTTTTCGTTGCTATTGCTTAAATAAAAGTCATATTCGCTGAAATGAAATCCGAAAATCTATCCGATAAATAACAACAACATTAGAAATAGGAAAATCATTGTCGCCGGTTATATCCTTGATTTTAAATAATGAAACTGGATCAGTAGCTTTTTTTATAGACATTTCCGGTTGATCTAATTTCGTAAATCAAACAAGAAAATTATAACATTCATTTGTAAAAGAATTAAATTTTAAAAATTCTACTTCTAAAGTGTTATTGTGTTTTTGTAGACTTCAGGTAGAAATTTATGTCTAGAGGATAATACGAATTTTAATTTATAATAAATACTAATCCTATAAAAACACTTGCATATGAACATACATAAATAGGTACACACACTTTAAATCAATAATAAATGTTTTTTATTTTGGTAGTGTGACCATATCTGAAAATTGTGGAAAAATAAAAACCGCAAACAAAGTATGTACATACCTATATAGTAATTTCGAAAAGGATATGAAAACAAGTAAATTTGTTATGTTGGTTTTATATGGTTTTATATTTTTGTTATTATTATTAGTAATTTTATAAGGATCTTGTATATGCAGGTGTATGTATGTATATAATAATTTTTATGTTTTAATATTAGAATTCCATTAAAAAATCATTGGCGGTACTTTATTTTTTCCTTTAAGATTCATAATTATTTTTTATATTTTGCGGTTTAAACCAAACAAAGAAAACAAAAATGGACAAAGAATACACAAAAAAATGTTTTAGAATAAGAATGAATAATTTTGTGTTAAAATATAAAAATTGCGTAAAGGTTTATCATGATTTGTACATAAAAATAATGCTTTTTTAATAATAGTTTTTTAAACTGAAATATGTACGAGTATGACTGAGCAAAATATTTTTTTGGAAATTTTTTTTTTCGTTTGATTCCTACAAATAAATACAAAATTAAATCAAAATTGATTTTATACTCGTGTACAGTTAAAATTTTTCGCCAAGAAAACTAGGATTTCAGAAAGGGTGAGAAGATTCATCGTTATAAATACATCGTATTTTTACAGTATTTTTCTCTATGTAAACACAATAATGTGCATATTACATATATATATATATGTATATATGTATACAAATATAAAATATACATATATGTATATGTTTATATAAATACGCAGTATGTATAAATAAATAAGGAAAAAAGAAATTTTAAAATTTTTAATTGATTTAATGTTAGTAAGTTTATGGTGCCTATGAACGCTACTTTTATAAAGCCTAATAAGATCCTGGTATCTTGAAAACTTGTTGAAAAATTTTCAATTTATTGAATTTATAAATCCAATCGACACATTCTGTTATATATTTTGTTTGTATCCTTTTATTTTTTATACTTCATATTACCGAAACAATAAAATTTCTAGAAATAAGTTTTTTGTATCAAAATTGCATTTTTTATACTACTTTTTTTTGCATCTTAAAAATTTTCCGTAAAAAGAAACTTTGGTTTTATTTTTGAATTCCGTATAATGCAAGTACACATATGTGCAAAGATAAAAGTAAGTTTTGTAATCTAAATTAAGCTTATGGAATAGGATCTGTAGAAATAAAAGCTGTCAATACTAAAGCGAAATATTAAAAATAACATCAAAAGAAGTACATATATTTCGTACAAAATATAAAACAAAATTTCAGTTTCAAAAATTACACAAAAGGGTTTTCAAGTATTTGAAATTACACAAAAGGGTTTTCAAGATAAGGTGTATATGATTGAAACCGTTGAAAATACTGCAGCTTTGATTTGTATAGAAGAAAATAAATCTGAAAATTATTTACTGAAATGCATCAGAGACTTCGAAATTTAAAGTTTTATGATTTGATGAAAATTGTAAAAGCAAATTTTACGGGAAATTTAAATTATAACAAAATTAATGAAATTGAGATTAAAGGTGTAATATGTATCAAAGTAAAAGTATCACAATTACCATGCGCTGCAGCTGCAACACGAAATAGTGAAGTAATTGGAATAATACATTCCGAGATATTCGGACCATTTAGCGAGACATCTTTATGTGTGAAAATTCAAGATACATTGATATGGTATTTTTAAAGAAAAAAGGTTAAATCTTCTATAAATTTAAGAAATTTAAAATACGAGTTGAAATAGAAACTGGATTAAAAATTAAACGTCTTCGAACATACTTCATCTGAAAGACAATCCTAAAGAACATACTTCATTTGAATTTATTTAAAAATTCAGAAAATGTTTTGAAAAAATCGAAAAAGAAAATTATACTAATGAATCTGTATGTGTATCAACATTAAGACTCAATCTGGAAAATAATAAAACCGAAGAAGAAATTTTTTAGATTGAGCAAGATCAGAAATAGTACTTCCAAATTTTCCCCGCACGACGAAGGCCACATCGTCAGCGTATCCCCAGACACGCGCCCCGGAGCCCCTGAGAGCAGCGATTAGATCATCCATTACAATGGACCACAGGAGGGGCGAAAGAACCCCGCCCTGCGGACATCCTTTTGCAGCGGAGATGAAGAGTATATCGTCAGCTATGGTGGACTTAATAATCCTATCCTGTAGCATCCGATTAACCCATCTGCTAGTCGTCGCATCAATCCCTCGTTTGTGCAGCGACTCACAGATGACATGATATGGGGTGTTGTCAAAAGCTCCCTCTATATCACGGAAGCAGCCAACTGCCACCTCCCGCACTTCCAGTGAGTTCTCAAGGACCCCCACCAGACTCTGCAGAGCGAGTACAGTAGACCTTCCCGACTGATAGGCGTACTGAGATTCATGCAAGAGATTGCTTCCCAGTGCACCGTCCCGTATAAATCTATCAATCACTTTTTCCATTGCTTTCAATAGAAAAGAAGTAAGGCTGATTGGACGGAAAGACCTTGGGTGGTTGCTTGGTCGCTTACCCACCTTCGGAATATACGTCACTTTAGCCACCCTCCATGCTTGAGGGATGTAACCCCACGCATAGCTGGCGCGAAAAATTTCCAACAGTGCCCTAGCGATATGTTGGAAACCCCTCTGCAAAAATTCAGGATACATCCCGTCATCACCTGGAGATTTGAAGGGCCTGAAAGAGAAGACAGCCCATCTAATCCTGCCCATCGTGAAGACTAGACGGGATCGTTGCCAGTCATCCCTCCTGGGCCAGGATGCCCTCGGTTCGATGACCGCATCTGAGTGATTGCAAAGAATCTCCGAGTCAGGAAAGTGCGTTGACGCCATAAGCTCCAACGTCTGCT